AGAGGCTGTGCACTAATTGTCTTTGTGTCCTATAGTTCACCTTTTGATGTAAAGAGCCAAATTCCATCTCATTTTAATGGTAAAACCTGCCACAAAGTGAACATGGGATGTATGTTACATATATGTTTACCCACTATGTGCTTGGCTCCCCTCATAAATATGTATAGCTTTTCCCCAAAACCTGCCAAATATGTATGATTCTATTTTATAAGACAGACTCTGTGGAGCCTAAAACCAAACTTCCTCTTCCCTACTCGAAGTTACAGCACCTTCAGTCCACACTGGAGACTCTCTCTTCCTGGTCTACAAACTGATATTGCCAATAAAACTCTCCTTTCTACTATCTCGCGCCATCATGGTGGTCATTTGGATGACACATTAAAATAAGGGTGAAGACAAAATGCTATCATCATTATTATTCAACATACGACACTGCATAAATTATAAAATGTCTACACAACAAAAGGTGTCATAAAGTTAAACTAGAAACTCTATTAATAATATATATAGAATAAATGGTTTCTATTGAAAATACATATACATACAAAACTACATGCATATAAAAAGAGTTTCTAAAAATAACAAGAAATAGGCCAAGCGCCATGGCTCATACCTGTAATCCCAGCACTTTGGGAGGCCAAGGCAGGCAGATCACCAGGTCAGGAGCTCGAGACCAGCCTGGGCAACATAGTAAAACCCTGTCTCTACTAAAAATACAAAAAATAGCCAGGCGTGGTGGCACACACCTATATCCCAGCTACTTGGGAGGCTAAGGCAGGAGAATTGCTTGAACACAGGAAGCAATGGTTGTGGTGAGCCGAGATCATGCCACTGCACTCCAGCTGGAGACGCTGTCTTAAAAACAAAAGAAACAAACAAACAAACAAAAAACAAGAAATAGACAATCCAATAACATCCTTTTTGCAGGGCCATTTGACAATAGCTATCAAAATTTTAAATGTTTATTACCTTTGGCTCTGCTTCCATTTTTATGAACGAGCTTTAAAAAATTCACACAAATGCTCAGAGAATATATATATACATATATATTTCGTGTGTGTATGTGTATATATACACATATATACATATATATGTGTATATATGTATGTATATATGTGTGTGTATATATATGTATGTGTATATATACATACACACAGACTCTGTGGGGCCTAAAACCCGAACTTCCTCTTCCCTACTCAAAGTTAAAGCACCTTCAGTCCACACTGGAGGCTCTCTGTGTGTGCATACATATATACACACACAAGGATGTTTGTTGCAGCATTGTTTACAAGAGAGAAAAATTAGAAATCTAAGTGTACTAAATGTTGAGTGGTTAAATAAATAATAGTATTCATACTACAAAATACTCTCAGCCCTTAAAAACAGTGAAATAGTCCGGGGCACAGTCGCTCAACCTGTAATCCCAGGGAGGCCAAGGCGGGTGGATCACTTGAGGTCAGGAGTTCAAGACCAGCCTGGCTAATATGGTGAAATCCTGTCTCTACTAAAAATACAAAAATTAGCCAGGCATGGTGGCACATGCCTGTGATCCCAACTACTTGGAAGGCTGAGACAGGAGAATCTCTTGAACCCAAGAGGTGGAGGTTACAGTGAGCCAAGATCACGCCACTGCACTCCAGCAGACAGAGCGAGACTCCGTCTCAAAAAATAAAATAAAATAAATAAAAATAATGAAATATATCTGTATGAACTGATATACCAGGATATATGAGAAAGATTAAATGAAAAAAGTAAGCAAAAAACAACAAATATCATATAATTATTGGACTTATGTGAATATATCATTTTTATAAAATATAGTAACAATGATATAAGGACACAATGATATTATAAGGATACAAACCAAATGGATAACTTCTAAGAAGGGAAGTAGAAATTGGCAGTCTAGGGTAGAAATCAGAAACAATCAGGAAAGAAACTGGGATTTTCAGGCTTTACTGAATATACTTTTAATTAATCCAAATTTTTAATATTAAGAATGTATTCAGTGTCACCCTGCTAGCTCAACTGGTAGAATAGAGACCAAAGAATGTGTGCATACAGCAGCATTATTCATAAGAGCCAAAAGGTGGAGGCAACCCAAATGTCCATCAACTGTTGAATATATAAACAAAATGAGTATCCATAAACTAAAATATTATTTGACGATAAAAAGGAATGATGTACTGATACATGTTAAATGACATACTGATACATGAATCTTCAGAACATTATGCCACATGGAAGAAGCCAGTCACCAAAAAAACATTTTCTATGATTCCATTCATTTGAAATGTCCAAAGTGACTAAATCTATAAATACAGAAAATAGATTAGTAGTTGTTTAAGGCCAGGTGAGGGGAAAGGGAATGGAGTTCTGGGGTGTGATAATACAAGGGATGGCGGGGTTCTTTCTGAGAAGAAAACGTTCAAAATTTGATTACGGTGTTGGTTGCACAGCTCTATGAATATACTAAACTCATTTAATTGCAAACTTTAAATGAATTAGTTATGTGATACGTGAATGTCAATAAAACTGCTACAAAAATAACAATAATCCAACAAGTTTAGAAACTTAATCCAAAAGAGAAAGTAAAGAGATACAGCTTGCTAAGAAAGCAAAGAAAGCCAGAATAGAGAAATTTAGAGTCTTACAGTACAGGTACCACACAAGAGTGGGACACAGAAAGAAAATATTAGAACTTCAATTTCTATTTGATTTTTACATAAAAATAATAAAAAGGAAATTAAGTTTTACTAAAATGTATAATATGGTCGACCAGTGCCTTTACTCAAAGGATCACATGGCTTGTGAGGTTGAAGAGGCATCCTGAAAAAGAACAAGAGTTCCACAAGGAGGCAGGCTGACCATTTATTCATTTTTTTTTTCCTTCTCAGCATATTGCAATATTTGACCGGTTAGGTGACTTTATAGATTATACTATTTAGATTTAACAAAATACATCCCTCCTAAAATGAGTAAGTGGCTGCAAAAGAATCCTGCAAATAAAACATTGCATGAAGCTAATAATTGCATTTTGTGCACAAATGAACAACAGGAAAATGGCAGAGCTTACCTATTATGATCTCTTCTGTGGATAATACAGATAAATATTAACAATATTTATATTTATATTTGTTGCATGAATGAATAATATGAAAATTATGAAAAACAAGAAGGAACACTAAGGAAATTCAGTAAGCAATTCTTCACTTTGAGTACATGTACCTATATTGTTACACCATCCTCCCCCAAACAGAGTGAGTATAGATAGAAATGTTGATCTTTATTATTAAAATCACATAAAATGGAAACACATTAGGAATTTACACATGGATATGTTTTATGTAAAAGACTAAACTACAGGCTGGGCATGGTGGCTCATGCCTGTAATCCCATCACTTTGGGAAGCCAAGACGGGTGGATCACCTGAGGTCAGGAGTTCAAGACCAGCCTGGCCAACATGGCGAAACCCCGTCTCTACCAAAAACAGAAAAAATAGCCAGGCGTGGTAGCGGCACCTGTAATCCCAGCTACTCGGGAGACTGGAGAGGCAGGAGAATGGCTTGAACCTGGGAGGCAGAGGTTGCAGTGAGCAGAGATCGTGCCACTGTACTCCAGCCTGGGCAACAGAGCAAGACTCTGTCTCAAAAAAAAAAAAAAAAGGAACAACAACAAAAAAAACTACAAGGGATCAGGTTATTTTCATGTAGCAAATTTCTCATTAATCTTATTGGAAGCATGCCTTTAACACTGCGTTTTAATTCATTCAAATATACAAGGGCAACAGTGCTACACAAGAACCTCTAGAGTATATTAAAACATTCAAAGACATTGGGAAGTAGACCAAAGCTGTGCTGGACTCTATAAGAAATTATGTTTCTTTCTGATAACTAAAGACACCCTGTTTGCTGGTTTAAGGATCAAAGAACATTTTCAAGTTGTAGTAAAATATATTATCATCAATTGACACATGGTGGTAACAAACCAAGTAGGAAGAGCTTAAGGACTTGATGTGAAAGAAAAAAGTTAACATAAAAAAGGCTAAAAACAGCAAAAGTAGAGGCCAGGCGCGATGGCTCATGCCTGTAATCCCAAAACTTTGAGAGACGGGGGCGGGCGGATCACCTGAGGTCGGGAGCCCGAGACCAGCCTGACCAACATAGAGAAACCCTGTCTCTACTAAAAATACAAAAGTAGCCGGTGTGCTGGTGCATGCCTGTAATCCCAGCTACTCGGGAGGCTGAGGCAGTTGAATCACTCGAATCCGGGAGGCGGAGGTTGCGGTGAGCCAAGATAGCGCCATTGCACTCCAGCCTGTGCAACAAGAGCGAAACTTCGTCTCAAAAAAAAAAAAAAACAAAAACAAAAACAGCAAAGGCAGAGTCAGAAAAGTTCTCGGCTAAAGTAGCAGGTGAGAAACTTCATTTTATGAGACTTCAGCCCCGTTAGTCAGAACAAAGTATTTCTACAAAGTACCTGTAACTGAAAAGATCCTCCCCGAGACATCACTAAACGATTACTCTGTAGCTAGGGACTGCCATCAAATTAATTCCCTAAGTGACAGTTCAGAGATTCTCGTGGTTTTTTTGTTTGTTTTTTGTTTTTTAAAGAGGATGCAGAGACCAAGAGGGTTTTTGTGTTTGTTTTCAATGAATATTTAGAAAGAAGGCTTTTAAAAAAGCAGTATCAACTGGCAGGTAAGACAAAGAGAGTTCAGTGTGGATTTGGGCATTTCTGCTGAAGCCCAGTAGAAAGGGCGCACTAATTACAGCAAGAAAAGGAAAACAAGAATCAGCATGGATGAAGCAAAAAACATACAACCCATGGTAGTATGTGCGATGTGATCTTTTTTGCAAGCCCAGCCACGTGTCCTTATAGAATCCCAAGGGTTCTACCTGCTCCCCGGGACCAAAAGCAGCGCCCCAAGGGAGCAGCCAAATGCTGTGGACCCGAACCAACCCACGAGATCCCAAAGCCCGGCGTCTCCTCTCCCCAACCTGGGATGTTCTGCCACCTGGACCCGACGCATAGCAGGGCTCTCTGCAGCCATATTTCACTAGATCCTTCTTTCTTCTGTAATTCCAAATGGTTAAGCAAAGCTCCCAGAGCAATCACGAGACTTCTGTGACAGGAGCCGTTTTCTTCCGGGAGATAACCAGCTCCCGCCCTGCGGAAATCCTGCAGCTTCGCTGAGGTGGCTGCTTCCAATCGCCCCGCCTCTGGCTCCTCCTCCCTGGACTCAGCCAGGGTTCCCTCCAAGCAGCAGTCGGGTACAGCCTCTGTTCTGCTCTTAGCTCCCAGGGAGGGACTAGGACCTCGCAGGAGCCCCTACGCCGAGGACGTGCGAAGCTGCCTAGTGAGGTTTTCTTTTTGCGCCGTGTGGATGTCTGAGAACAGTGTCATAACCTGGCGCCTTGCATACACCTAGTTTCTGATCTGTCTTGGGCTGTGTGTTTTTTTGTTTTGTTTTGTTTTTAAGTTATGTTTTGGTCTTTATTTTGGTCTTTATTGTCAGCAGCTACTCCCCAAACAACACTAAAATGTTTAGCTATTGCTTCTTTTGCAGATTATTTCCAAATCAAGCAACGTAAAATTGATGTATCACTTGATTTAAATAGATTTGCATTTATAGTTAGAGGCATTCGTAGGCTTTCCTAGAACACAGTTCTGAAAAGACGGAAACACATGCCTTTTAATGTGCAAGACCCCTTAGCATCCAGTTAAACTTCTTCATTTTTCACTTACCTAGAGAAATCCTAGATGCCCTATTTTAAAAAGTACACTATCCCCAGTATATCATTTACTTTTCCTTCCTTCATAGTTCTCCTATTTGCTTACGTATTTATTGTGTGTCTCACCACCTCCATCATCACTACCACTAGAAAGCAACTGGCGGCAGGCAGGCAGATTAGTTTTTAATGAATAGGTAAGATAAACTGAATGAATGATGAAGGATGAAGTGATGTCCCTGAGGTCACAGTGATCACTGGGAGCAAAATTGGAATTAAAATTCAGATCTATTAACTCTCAATCTAGTGCACTTTGCACCTCAGAAATGTTGAGATTAAACCCAAGTGAAGGCCGCTAGCAATACACCTATCCAAAGTTTCCTGATTAAGAAAGTTTGGGCCAACATGCCCAACATACTAGTGGTAGTAGCATAACTCAGAGAGATTCTGTAAGTTGTATACATCAGTAAGCTGCTGCTCCAGAATTTCTGTATGTATATGCATACTTTGTCTCCATGTGTCCTTCCCTCTTCTGTATACATGTATACAGGAGGAAGGGGGAAGGACACATGGAGACAAAGTGTGAAGGGACAATAAAGCATAGCCAAAGAGTGGCAGCCCCTTGGCACCCCTTTGGGTTATTACTGTAAATGGTACTTCAAAGAAACAAAGTTACTCTGGTCTCAGGGCAGCTTTCTCACTACTATTTCAGTCCCTCTTTATCATTTTCAAATGAATAAATTATATCTTCTTGTTTCTGAGCCCCAATAAATCCCAGTTTGATGTTCATTTTGGTTTAATTTTGAGTAACAGGAGTCATCACTGTCACTTGTAAATAGTTTCAATAGGGAGGTAACCTAAATTTTTAAAAATGTAAGATGTTTAAGAACATCAGTAAATACAGAAAAGAACAGAATCTTTTTTTTTTTTTTTTTTTTTGAGATGGAGTTTCACTCTTTGTTGCCCAGGCTGGACTGCAGTGGCACGATCTGTGCTCACTGCAACCTCCACCTCCCAGGTTCAAACGATTCTCCTGTCTCAGCCTCCTGAGTAGCTGGGATTACAGACACCCACCACCACACCCGGCTGATTTTTGTATTTTTAGTAAAGATGGGGTTTCACCACGTTGGCCTCAAACTCCTGACCTCAGGTGATCTGCCCACCTCGGCCTTCCAAAATTCTGGGATCAAAGGCGGGAGCCACCGCGCCCGGCCCAGAATCATTTTTTATTCAGATGTTTCTAATGTAATATTTTGCATTAGTTGAAAAATAATAAATTTTAAAGTTTTGAAATTTTTTTAATAGTCCAAAATAAACTCATTTTATACAGGGTTAAAAAAAAATGACTGTAGGAACTGTTTCATAAAAGAATACTTCCTGTTGAATGTGTATTTGATGACCGAACATTAACTTTGCTAAATGAAACCAGATGGCAAATCATTAGTTTGGATCTTGGATACATTGCTATTGCAGTCTCAACAAAACTGATGCAGACTAGAAAGCACCTTACAGAGCAACTAGTAAAACATCCTTTTTTGAAAGGATTTGAATGTCCAAAGTACAACAGGATAACAGAGCTGGAATTAAAACTTAGGTCTCTAGACTCCTAGCCTAAAGGCCATACCACTTCTGAATGTGTAACCTTTGTTGAGACCCCAGTAAACTGTACTTAAATTATTGAAAGTATTAGAATCCTTGTCAAAAATTAAAATGTGTACCTTATAATTTTCATAAAGTATTGCTATTAAAATAACTTGTCCAAACTACTAGATAACCCCAAATAGACACCAAAAACAAAACCAACATTACTTTCTTATACTACCTTCCTAACGCTAGGCATCTTGCTAAGTAAGCACTTTGCATATATTATTTTCTCTTTAAACCTTTCCGACAATCCTTATGGGATAGAAAAATATTATTTCCTTTTCAGTTTCAAGAAGATATTCCTTTAGTTCTTATTAGACATATCTAATAGTGAAAATATTTAAACATTTGGCTGGGCGCAGGGCTCATGCCTGTAATCCCAGCACTTTGGGAGGCCGAGGCGGGCAGATCACCTGAGGTCAGGAGTTTGAGACCAGCCTGGTCAACATGGTGAAACCCCATCTCTACTAAGAACACAAAAATATAGCCAGGTATGGTGGCGGGCACCTGTAATCCCAGCAATTCGGGAGGCTGAGGCTGGAGAATCGCTTGAACCTGGGAGATGGAGGTTGAGTAAGCCGAGATCACGCCATTGCACTCCAGCCTGGGCAACTAAGAGTGAAACTCCGTCTCAAAAAAAAAGAAAAAAAAAGAAAATATTTAAACATTTATATTTTACAGTACTTTTATTTTCACAAATCCTGAACCTCTTGGTTCTTTGCTTTTAGTAGGCACAGTTACAATAGGTTTAGAATCTGAATTATAAACTAATAAATGGTATATTATGATGGAGTCTTAAACAGATACCTAATTAATAAACTTCAAATTGTTTATCCTCAAAGGATATTAGTCTCCATTCAGATAAAATATTATAGCAAACTAAAAAAAAACAAAACAAACACTAAAATGACATAAAACAAAAACTTGATCCAAAATATGAGTTAAAGCGTGGGTGTTAAGAGTCTTACAGACCTGGCTAATGCCTACTGATGTTTCTCAGCTTAGAAATCACTTCCTTCAGGGAGTTTTCTATGTTCCCTGGGCCTATCTCTACCCAAAACTAAGTGTCTAAGACCATAGAGGGATTGACCATTTATCTGGAATAATGTCATTTCTGTGGTTTAATCTGTTTGTGCAATCCCTGGAAAATATTTCCTATTTTGACTTATAATAAAAACTATTGTTCGCAATTGGGAGACTCTACTTCAGTGACCTATTTTGGATATTTTCTCATTATAGTAAATAATATGTAATACTTCTTTATGTTTTCTTTATAATGATGGTACATTCCATTCCTTCTACTTCTTTTTTTTTTTTTTTTTGAGACGAAGTCTTGCTCTTGTCGCCCAGGCCAGAGTGCAATGGAGCGATCTCGCTCACTGCAACCTCCACCTTCCGGGTTCAAGTGATTCTCCTGCCTCAGCCTCCCGAGTAGCTGGGATTACAGGCGCCTGCCACCACGCCCAGCTAATTTTTGTATTTTTAGTGGAGATGGGGTTTCACCATGTTGACCAGGCTGGTCCCAAACTCCTGACCTGAGGCCATCCACCCTCCTTGGCCTCCCAACGTGCTGGGATTACAGGCGTGAGCTACCGCACCTGGCCCCTTATTCTTCTGTATATAGAATAGATACTGCTCTCTAGTGTATATAATCATTAAATGGCAAAAAATAAACTCAGGAATCAGAGAAATCTGTATTTATGTAGTTATGGAGGAAATAAAAATTGTGTAAAAATGCTTTAACTGAACATAGATTGTTTTGCAGAGTGAAAAACAAGGCAAAACAAAATGAAGCCTCTAAGCACCTTCTGCTTGCCCAGTCATACAAAGCATCACATCAGTCCTCTAATTACTTGTGTTTTCTGTCTAGTCTAAATTTTGCTACTCAAAGTGTGGTCCTCAGAACAGCAGCATCAGCATCACTTGAAAGTTTTTAGAAATATATTATCTTGCGCTCAGACCTACTGAATCAGAATTTACAATGCAAGTCAAACATGTCATTTTAAATTTTCTAGAAGCCACTTTCAAAACAGTAAAAAGAAATGTTGAATTTAATATTTTATCTAATATACCAAAATATCATTTTAAATATAATATTTTAAATTATTCAGAAATTTTACTTTTTTATAATAAGTCTCCAAATTCCAGCATATCTCAATTACAGCATATCTCAATTCTGATGAGAAACGAGTGACTGCTATTTTAGACAGCACAGAGCTAGATTATAAGCTCCCTGAAGGCAAAGACTGTTTTACTCTGATTTTACAGACTCAGGCTCAGTGTTGAGCAGGCACTCAAGGAATGTTTAATGAAGGAATCAATTAATGAAACTGGATTTGTGTGGTTCAGCTACTTTGTGACCCTAGGTAAGTCTGAAATTCCTCTTCTCTAAAGGGTGATAAAAACAACTACTTCATAGGGTTATTATGAAGATTTTAAAAACCATCCCAACATTCTCTCCAGTTATTCTCTATCACCTAAATCTGGTTTGCTGTCTTTAAAGCTATCTGAAATTACATTATGTATTGATTTTTATACATATTATCTGTCACCTCCACTAGAATTCATATTCCATGTTTCATCCATTATTCTATCATTCATTCATTCATTCATTCAACAAAAGTTTCTCTGGGCTTCTATGTTCTAAGCACAATTCTAGGCACTGGGGACACAACGATAAACATAAAAAAAAGCTCCTGCTTTATGGCAAATTAAAATTAGTTAAGCAAATAAATGAATATGTTACAAAAATTGATGCAAACTCTGCATCTAGTATGTATTCCATGATTAAAATGAAATTGAATAAACAAAAATTTAGATTCTGCAATTAGAAGTTTACATTTCAGGCTTACAGTGTACATTAGCCCGATCAAATTACAGACAAATTGCCCCAATTTAAAACTATATTTTGTCTTTTCCTTTTTATTTCTTTTTATTTCCTTTTTTTTTTTTTTTATTTCCTTTTTTTTTTTTTTTTTTTGGAGACGGAGTTTTGCTCTTGTCACCCAGGCTGAGTGCAATGGCACAATCTCGGCTCACTGCAACCTCTGCCTGCCGGGTTCAAGCGATTCTCCTGCCTCAGCCTCTGGAACATCTGGGATTACAGGCATGCACCACCACGCCCGGGTAATTTTTGTATGATTAGTAGAGATGGGGTTATAACACATTGGCCAGGCTGATCTCGAACTCCTGATCTCAGGTGATCCACCTGCCTCGGCCTCCCAAAGTGCTGGGATTACAGGCGTGAGCCACCATGCCCAGCCTTCCTTTTTAT